CACCAATGGATTGGGGTAGACCGAACACTCATCGGACACCAAAACTCGAACAGATGCACCTGGATTTGCCTAAGGTTTGCCGGAGGATTCTGCTGATTGTGATTTGAGAGTGGATTGTAAATGGATGTTCATTTTCGAGTGGCGAGTGATGGAGGGTGTGGTTTTGGAGGTGTCATAGGCAAATAAACAAGGAACACTGGTGGATAGTAAATAGAAAGTACGAGTGCTAATTGGACACTGTGCTTCACAATCTGGGACACTACTTCGCCCATAAATGTTTGCCTCATATTAAGTTAAGCAAGTGTGCATTTTCTTTTATTTTGCGATTATACATATTTAATCTTCCTAGATGCATTGTCAGGGTGATTAAGTCGAGAAGAATGAGATGGGCGAGGAATGTAGCGCGCATGGATAGGACAAGAGTTGTGCACCGGGAAACCTCAAAGGAAGAGACCGCTGGGGAGACCTAGACGTAGATGGGAGGAAAATCACAGGCGCGATCGGGAGATAGGAGTTGAAGGAGAATGGATTTTGTTCGCCCAAGACAGTGTCCGGTGGAGGGCTTTGGTTAATTCGGTGATAAACCTTCGGGTTTGGTAAGCCATCTAGTTACTTAGTTAATCCTCCTTTATGTACGTTTATTGCAGATAGAAACGCATAGTTCTAGAGTTAATCATGCACCAGATTACAATGCACGAACTCATGAATTAGTTTCCTTCTACGAAATACATTCAGAAAGTAAGGGAAATATTGAAATATTTTCGTTTTATGATTGGCAACACTACTGTGGCCTGAATATGCTGTACAAAAGGCGAAACGGTGCTATGCTGTGAGTGTGGTTCAGTTATCCGTTTGTGAACAAACGGACCAAATCCTGTTGTCCTGCCTGTTTACGTACCTGTCAATGTGGAACCATCATCACTCAAGAAAACTGTATAGAATAACTTCCTTCCATACTCGAAATCGCCTGCAATACTTAAGTTCCTTGCTTCGTCCGACGATTCAAGTTCGTGGACCGCGTGAATTCGACAGTCATATACGGTCTAGAATACGTCATACGCGCTTGAGATGCCAGTTTCCTAAGAATTTTACCAGAAAATTGCTCTGTCCACGAACATCGCCCGGTTCTTCTTGGGTTGACACGTCCGGCCGACCAAACCACTTCCCGTCATTTACACTTCCATTCTAATAAAAAGTCAACCAGTTGTGCAAACGTCCAAGAGAAAGGAGCATAATATCTTCAGAAATACTGTTCCCGCTATTGGCCACAGCTACTGGTGCTTGGTGACTGCGTGGTACTACGGTAGGCGATTGGAGTTTTCGCGACACACAAATCGTATCAACAGTTGAAAGCAAGAAGCTCTAACTTTGTCACGGGCTACCAGACACTTCCGAGTTGTTTTGCGCGAATTTTTAACCATCTCTAAATATCACTACGGTTACGGAATTCAAAAACAGGAACCTCCAGACGAAATAGTCCTGTGTGGAGATCACATGACTCGCACTTCTGCTACGGGAATGAATACATCTACCAAAGTTGCTTAGAACGTCAGATTTTCTACCTCTCGTCTTTATATGATATGGACCAAGTCAACTCACAATCTGTGCACATCATAGAAATCATTGTAATTCATGCCGATCTGATAGGATGTTGAAGACTTATTGATGGTAACACGCAATGGATGGTAGCTAACATGTTTTAAAGGTACCACAGAACCCATAAGAAACTGATATTCGGGTAGACAAAATCAGAACATCTTGACATGATGCAATGGTTGCTTACAATTCAACTGCAACGCTCAGGATTCACCAGCCCGTATGAATTAGTTCCTCCACTATCAGTAAGTCTACATGGGAAATATAAACAAAATAAAATACTGTATTATAATTCTGGACCCCGTTCACCGGAATTAATGCACTTAAAAGAAGATTCGAGAACCCAAGAAAGTCAAATTTCGTTTTAACACAATGAAATTACACTTCCTTTGTTTAATAACTAAAGATTATATCCGCTTAAAATACGAAAATGCTAATTTTTATAGATTACTCCTATGCATTTTAAAAATATTGACATGGTTTCATTTTTGATGCATTCGTTTAATCGGAATTAATACTGGCGAATATCAATGATTTATGTACATGGGGCCAGTTACAGTTTCCGAAATGGTGTTCTGTTCAGAATATTAGACGATGGATAAGTCAGGACACCTAGTAACATTAACCGTCAGAACTGCTTTCCACTCATTATCACTCCGGGTATATCCGGTTCCAGCCCCAGTAATTTAGCTCCGGTTCGATGCACACGTACGAACAATACTTCAAAAAGTGGCCATGAACGTCTCTCCTTAGTCGTTACTTTTAAAAAATATTTTAATATGTGTCGCTTCTTCACAAATAAAGTTTCAAAACTTAAAAGTTTCCCATATTTTATCATTAGTTTTGAAAAGACAATGAGGAAACAGAAGCCTCCACAATGAATGACAAATTGTATTTTCTAATTTTACTCTGATTTCACTTTGAATATTCTTGTATCCCTCGGAATACTTTTCAGATCCTACCGGCGATGTCGAGACGGCAGACTTCTGATTCCTCGTTGCCTTTCAAAACCCCAAAGTATAAAATGTGGGAAACTATAATTCAGTATGGCAAGCACATAATTCAGAAACTACGACGACAGGGCCAGACACGTGTCTTTATTTTCCGTCTACTTTCCACTGATTCCAACCCTAATCTGATGACCTCCCACCACCACTCACCACCTTCTAGTGCCGAAGATGAGAATGGGTAGGAACTACACCACCTCTCCCCTAAGTTCCAACATTGGTACATAATGGGATTTCTTTACTTTATCCAACTGAGTAAACAATTTATTAAATAACAGAATGGCTATTTTTTAATGTCGTCACTGGGTTTCGCACCTATAAAAAGCAATACAAATAACAACCGCGCGCGACAACACTCGACACGCCGCACGCGGCTAGTCGCGCCAGTGGGTCTCTAGCCTTAGACGGTTATACAGACTTGTTAGTATTTACAGTGGATGTCAGAATATTCTCTACAATACCAAAAAATGTAATTTGCAGTGTTCATGGTTTCACGACACTTCGACAGAACATGGAGCATAATAGTTTTCATGTAACCGGTTCTGTGTGACGAATATTGTAGTATATATTATTACGCTATGAATGATGGGATTAATCCTGTCGTGAGTCTGTGAAGATAGTTACGGAAGAAATGTGGTATATTCACAAAACTGGTTTTAGTCATTTATCGTTTCAACAAAAAATTCTGTGTATATTTTTTATATTTACAAACTGAGGATACAATGGTGTTTAATGTGACTTTTTGAGCTTACTTCAGAAATTTTTTATATATTCAGGCAATTTGTTTTAGATAATGTAGCGTGATATGTTAATTGAAAAGAGGGATATAGTAGTGTATGAAGCGTGAGAAAAACCGAGGAGACTGAGACATGGAAGGGATAGGAAAGAAATTTGGGAGAAAGGAGATGAGATAGGGTACAAAAGATATAACAGAAGAAAGGATGAGGGATTAAGATACGAAGACATTACTACTCTCTAACCGAATTTTGCAGAGCTTTTAAACTAAACACTAAGGAACGAAGGTACATTCTTCACCTTTGTGAGTGGCCAGATTCAAGCTTCCAGCGGGAAGAAATGGTACCAATTGGACAGGAGGCTGGATGGGTTCCAGGAACGGTCGGGATGTGCCAAAGAGGGAAATTACCGCCCCCGCCGGGAAACGAAACCCAGCAGTCCAGTCCGTAGCTGACTGAATTACAAACTCCATGGAGCAGACTCCTTCATGAGATGCCGTCAGTAGCTCAGAAATTAGTGTTTTTTTATAGAAGGTCAAAGTTCATTTTCGGCCAATCCTGGGCCAGTTGTGGTCTCCCATTTGCATTTACATTATCTCTCCGACCAACAGACTAATATGTTTGCACCGTCATTATGAACATAATTATCACTGTTTCTATCGGTGCGCAATACAAAAGAATGCCTCTCAACAGTTGTCGTGACTTGTCTACGATGATTAGTGGAAGGAACTTTCCGTCAGGTGACATGTGCCAACCAATGACGACGAGTCGGTTCTATTTGCGTTTCCAGTGCATGTTATGTACTGAATACATTATAAAAGCATGTGGATTTTAAAGCACACTATGTCAGTACATCTAAAATATTACTGTTCCTGTACTTTCATTCAATTATTCGTTACAGTACATAAGAAAATGTAACAGAGTAGGAAACTCCGAATGTAATGCGTGACATTCGAATAACATATTACGTATAACTAGAAGTTCGGGTAAACATCACAAAACATGCTCTCCTACTGCTACAGAAATCGTGCACAGATGCCTTGTTTATGTAATGCAATTCAGCAACAAAATACAACTCATGGATTAGCGAGTCGGACTCGCGCGCAGGTCATACGAGTGAATAGCAATACATTCCGACTTCTTTAATTGTATGGAACTGTAAATAAGTTAAAGACAAATACTGACACTACCAAAATACTTTGTTGCAGAAATAAGGGTCGTCCCTAGGAAGATGTTGGGTCCCTAGAATTTTAAACTCGTGAAAAACAAGGAACTTCTTTCGACGTTACCTGCAGGATGAATATACAAGGCACGTAGAGGCTTCCAACCACTCACTACCTTTCATTATTTATTTATTTAGTGTTCTGTCTGACGACAGGTCCATATGAACAGGATCCTTCCATCCTTTTCTCGGACTGGGACCTGTTCATATACGTTCTTGGCAGATGATCCAGAAGTGGTTTGCCATTGCCTTCTTCTCTGTGTGAATGGAGTAATTGTTGGGATGCCACGGAGGAAAACTCCGTGTTGCCTAGACCACGGCCTTGCCCAACACAAGTTATAAATCTGAGCACCTCCGGGAATCGAACCCGGGACTCCAGGATTACAAGGCCAACGTTCTAACCGCTAGACCATTACTAACGTACTTTGTATTTTGAGCAGTACAAATAACAGAATAAAAGAAATACATAAGATTTATTAGAATAAACTAGTCGATTTCTACCAACCCCCGCCGATGACGTGCCGGAAGTCGTCGTTATTCGACAAATCACAGCATGCTCCTAATTTCTGTGCTGGTCTCCTTTCCACCAACATTCATATCGTCTTGTCCAGAAGGAAATATGATCCCCATTGATCATGTCGCGTTTTCACCTTCATTTGAAACAGCTCTGACACCAGAATCATATTTCAACTGTTGGGTTACCACGAGCACAGTTCGGCAATTCAGCACACTCCTCTAAAGCCGCTTCCAAAAACGTTCCCAGAGAATCCTTCAACGTTTTAATGAATCTTTCTATTGTCTGACCTTCTTCATCCGCCCATTTACACTTTCGACATCTGTCCCTCTCCCTCCCTACTTCGTGCACACTCATGCATGTCTGTCACAACCGAATATAAGTTTTGCAATTCTGCGCAGTTTCACAGAAAGTTACTGTCTGACATTAATCACCATCGAGAGTCCGCACGTCGTACATTGCGCACAACCTAGGGCCTTGAATTATTTCCCAGCGATGTTTTCACTCACGGGTTGATTACTGATCCTTTCAAAAGAAAAGAATACAATACAAAATGAATTAAACACAGCCGCTTCTGAACAATGACGGTAACAGGTACGTAGAGATTTCAGCTCAAAAAAGAACTTGTTCAGGAACTGGATGAAATTCAACCGAAATCTGAACAAAGATTTTATGCGCCAGTTTGGAATCAAAAACATTTTTTGAAGTTCTACTGCCATAGATCATTTCAGTATCATATATTACGTGACTCTAATGTTGTTCCCACCTCATACGTTTGCTCGTTCGGCATGTTATTGCCAGTTGATATTACGATCATACTAAATTTAGAGAAAATCGGTCAGCTTGTTTAAAAGTTCGAAGGGGAGGGGACACACAAAGAACATAAGTGTTCTCATAATATACTTCTATAAGGAAAGGAAACAAAAGTAGGCTAGAATAATTACTGTAGGGTTTTCCTCCGTCACTCCAGGAAAATTCCGGAATAGTATCTTAAATCTGGCCACGAAGCCAACTTCCACACCCTTTAAATTTATTATTTATTCACAATCCTAACATCCAACGCTGTATGGCCTAAGCAACTGACAGCGGGAGTACACTAAACTATTTGGCCATGGCTGCTACCACTCCGGTAAATCGGAAATTAGGGACGATTTGTTCAAGGTTCGAAATTAGGCTATCCTGACTGACGCTTGTTTTGATTGTCCTCAAGACTTTCCTGATGCAACACAACTTTAAATACGCCATGCTAGGTTCTTACTTTGTTACGGACGCTTACGGCATCTGAATTTGAGACTGTCGTTACATAACATGAACAGCAAACAACACGTACTTAGCCCTGCTTAATCCAGTCTATTCACCAGAATATCACTCCAACACCTGCTTTAGTGAAAGACAGTAAGATTACTTTAACAGTCTGGAAACAGGCAATTTCCCACCCAAGAAACAAGTCTCAACTCGTATAAAAGTCTGCTGCTTACCAAGTACGGAATTTTCTGCCCATGCTGTTAACAAATTATTTAAAGATGCTGCATTATCTGCGGATCTTGTTTAACGCTGAGTTTAAAATTACTGCGCGGGAAGCGACTGTAAAATATTTCATAATGCTACCAGATCTATCCCTTGAGTAACATTGAAAAATAACGAAAAATTTTAAGATACGTATAGTCGGCGCAATAGTTTTTGGCCGGTGGAATTTTCAAGGGGAAGGCTAGGAGCGAGTCTGACTGAACGCCCAAACAAATGAAATACGCTGACAGTGCCACCTCAGGTACACAAAGTAGGCCCGTCCGCCAGCTCCTCCACCGGCCAAAAACTACTACGCCGACTATACAAGGAAAGGATTTTAAACAATATGAACCATTAAAATTAGAATCAGCACTAAATAAATGTTACGTCACGCAAAGTGGCTTCAAACTACTTATCTCTCATCCATTAATACATCCATACCTGTTTCTTTCGGATTATTTTTAACACTACCCCCCTTTCAAGCCATGTCGCCCAACAGTCACTTTCATGCTGATTTTCAGATAAATTTTCGCATGCATTTTTCATTTCGCATGAGTGCTCCATGTCCAGTTCATCTCGCCCTCCTTGATCTTATCACCTGTCGAAAGATAAACAATTATGCAACTCTTCATTACCAGCATCCAATTTTAAACATCCTACTGCTAGTTCTTCCGTATCAGCTCCAAATATTATCCTCAGCACAATTTGTCTCAATGTCTTTCTCACGGATTGAAAAACCAAGCAGCTAAGTAAAATATTTGTTTTTATATTTTCATGTTTTTTTTAAAAAAATAATTTTTAGATACCGGACGAGCTCTGAACTCAATGGTAGCAAACATTCGCCGAATTCAATCCGATGCGTAATTAAAACTACGGCTAAAGCGACAGGTGCTAGTGCAAATGCAAGAGTCGATCAATACCAGAGTCACGAACCCGTGCCGGCAGAATGCTTCTGGTTTCAGGGGCCGTTTGAACCCTCTAGCGGAGCCGACTAGCTCAGCCGACGGGTGGATAACTGGGGTTATGTTCCCAATAAGGGCAGCACATCGCAGAACCTCCTATTGATTGGATACCGGCGTATAGTTTTCGAGGCTGGGTTCCCTCAATACATTCTCTTCACAACACCTTCACATTTCGTTCTACACTACAGATGATACAGCGTTGTTACGTAACCAAACAACCGCCACCTCCCAGATCAGGGGTACCCCAAGTCCTGTACACGTCGGCACCTGTTAATTTGTATTCTCTACCTGATTAAGTAAAGAAGGCTGACATACAGAGGATATGAGAAACGTACACAGAAACTATCAAGGTGAAATACCACTTGTTGATGGAAAGACGGCATTAAACAGAGCTTGAAGAAGCACGGTATTCAATGAAATAACTTGACTCAGAACAAGGACCGGTGGCGGGCTCTTGTGGGCATGTACTGAATCTCCCCGTTCCACAAATGGCGGGAAATGTCTTGACCGGCTGAGTAACGATCAGCTCTTCAAGGACTCTCTACCATGATCACATCGGCGCCCAACCCAAACTCACAAGCTGCATGCAGAAGCTTGAAAAACAATGTAAGAATACAAATATCAGCGTCACGGAATAATATAAATAATTTGTCAGATGTAAGACTTAGGTTTTCACGTCGGTAAACTTCTATCAAACTACAAGGCGCAACAACACAGAAGACAGTCATCTTCAGTTGTTAAACGCAGAGATACAAAAACCAATAAAACCTTGAAGCCTAATTATATTTTTACTTTGAACCCATCCAATCATGACGCAAAGAAATGTTACATGGATGCTATCAGTAAGAAAGGATGACAGAGATTTCGTTGCATGTAATGAATCCATGATAAAAATCGGTTGGCGTGTCATGTTGAGAAGCGTATACATACATCATACATAGTCTGTGACCATTACAACTAATTCGCCTATCAAAAGCTCGTGAAATTGGGAGACTATCAGGCCATCCCTGTGCCTGGGTACGAATGTTGAAGTGCGGGTTAACGCATTCTTCATCTTCGAAGTTACAAGGGATTTTGAAGGTTATGGAAGAATATTGGGAAAAATGTTAACAATAACGGTAATCATCCTATCCCAACCTTACTCGTCCACAACGAAGTTAATACTAAGTATGTATGCACAGAAGTGCACAATAATAAAAGAAAATGTGTTTCCACAACCAAAGCTTTCTGTGATATCCTCGCACCTTCATAAATACAGAAGTGTGTTCGAGTGCTGAACGCTCTAAATGGTACAACATATCCGCAAAGGTGAAAAAGATCTCCTCATTCCGTTGCCAACAAACTACCTGTAATTACCAGTTTATGGGTGAAGGACGAAGTAAGGAGAGGGTCACATGCTGGCTGGTCAGGTGCGTCGCATACACATGCATATGGAGCATTAATGGAATAATGACTAGCACGGAAAACCTGGTTCAGTGCCACTTCACAAATCACAACCCCAATATGCATATATGTTTAATATGTGTGATATAACTGACATGTCAAAACATATCAAGAAACAATGGATATGAAATATAAGACGAACTATAATCATTCAGCGATCGAAATCTAATGTTATTGTTTGCAAATTCATGACACAAAAGTATGGCTTCCAAATTATGACACGACCTTGACATCTCAAAACCCTTTCCCAGATATTTCAAGAAATGAGCGAAAGCACTGCACACTTGATTCAACCCTCATAACATCCAATTTCCACCTGCACATGTAACAAATTCACGAAAGTCAGTCCACTCGTTTTTATACAAAAACAGCTCCTTAAACAATACTGTAATCACTTACCAAGTTCATCCAGTTGTCGCTGAGATCGGGTCCTGGAAACAATTGTGCTCAAATATATCCTATCTCTTGCAACAGACACAAACACAAACCTACTCTACCATTCCTCATAACAGACTGGCGACCATGGGTAAAATGCTGCTTACTGCAAACGATATCAGAGATGGAAGCACCCGTCTCATACTTGTTTTCAACATCAACATAGTTCTACTTACCAGTTGCAGATGGCGGTCATCAAAACGTCAAGGCCTGCACTCTGGTGGAAGTTGTATAACACTAGTTGTGCTGTTTGAAATGCAGAGCCCAAGAATAGTTCCAAATCTCATATCCTTTTTCAATTGCTATGGTCGTGCCAAAAGAGTCCATCCTGGTCCGAGCCTTAGTTAATGTGTTCGTAACAGCGCTTTTTTTTACGGTGAAAGGTTGTTAGCCTTACGCCCAACCCCTAACTTGGACGACCATTGACCACGACTGCTTATTCAATATATTCACAGCTAACCTCCTTAAACTGGAGCCCGCCCCTCTATCCGCAACCTGAGGTCGCGCCATGCGGCCGTATAATGGGACCCACACCATAAATTGAAGATAAGTGAACTGCCGCTCCATATATTAGCGAGGGCATGAACAATTCTAAAGATAAATATATTGCCGCGCCATATAATGGCGAGAACATGAACTAATATAAAGATAAGTGAACAGCCGCGCCATGTATTGGTGAGGGCGTGAACTAATGAGCTCCCCAATTACCTCACGATGCTGGGTTGGCACCAGTCGCAAATCTCATGAGAAATTTCCTTCCCCGAGATTCGAACCAGCGCGCATTCATATCACCGGTCCCAAGACTTAGACCGCGCGGCTACGGCACGGGAGAAAGTCACAGAGAAAGTCAGACATTAAACAAGTTCATTATAGAATCATCTAAATATCGCAAGAAGTGGCAAGTAATATTTTTAATAATGATCCCCGACGGTCTAGCCTCTGCGTATAGACCAGCTCTTGGGTCCACCCAGCCTCCTATGCATTGGGTACCGTGATCCTTTCCCGGGGGTAAAGCGTGACCGTGTCGTATCCCTTGCAGTGAATCGATAGGCCTCCCCGCGTCAGGATACGAATTGTAGTTTAGCTGAGCTGTTGATAATTTGATCAGGTGGCCTTAAAGCTACTGAGTAAGGCAGCGCTCAAGGGTGAAAGCTCAAGAACAATCTTCAATTTTATATATATATATATATATATTGAAAGAGAGAGAGATATTGCTTTATTATGAAAGATTAAAACGAAGAAAGTTATACAGATTTAGACTCCCGGATATGGTTCGAGTTCCCAGTCTGATTAGAGCTGTCACATTTTTCTATTACTCTGTACGTATCTTAACCAAATTCAAGTTCCTAGTTTTGTGTATTTTGTGGCAATATATTGTACTTAGTCATTAAAATACTTTTAAGTACCGAAAAATATTTTGAATAAATAAATACATTTGTTGACTGAAAGCATGGCATTTGAAAAGTTTGGTAATTCTCCAGGGACATGGCACAATTACCCGGTATATCGGGGCAATTCAGCCAAATGTACTTTTACAGTTTTTTTTTAAAATATCTATACAAAATTTTCAGTGTGTAGCCTTCATAATATCGTTTTTGTAAATGACGTTCACGTAGGAAAACATTTAATCTTCCCCCAATATCATGAAGACGGTTTCGTAACTCGAAATATGTCGTCACAAGTTGATTTATTTAATACAAGACGCAAAGGGAATCTACTATGTGTTAATGGAGAGTAATATTTTGGATAAAATTGAACGTATTTAAAATAATGAATTTCAATAAAACTTATTGAGCAGAAAATAACGAGGAGAAATAATTTTTCCTTCTTTGCTGCAAACAATATTTCTCTTTATTTTTCTTTGTGGCTAATACATCAATTCCCAGTTATCTTCATTACTTTCGTAAGGAAAATAATTAAATTTAATGTGTTCGCCGTCGTGGTAATCGACTGCGAACAGGTGTTCTCCAAATCAACCATTTGTTTTTACGTTTCTCCTCTATTAATTTGTCTGTGTGTTTGTAGGCGTAATCGCTTGCATTCGGTAGGTTCTTGATGACACAAATCGACAGAGCATATCTACAAACATTCATGTTTGTCACCTTGCACCTGCAATTTGAAATATTAAAAGTGGAAATAAATCCTTTTGTATCATCCATCAGTATTATCTACACTCAAGACAATTTAAATCACATTTCACTGACACAGTTACAGAAATTAAGTAGCTCTACATGCGATGACGTAACTCACGAAGGAATACGTTTTCTACCATAAATAATTTTTTTAATATAAATTTAATAGAAATGTAATTTCAATGTCAAAGCATTTCTCAAAAGAAATTAACCATTTTTTTTAAAACATAAATACACTTTTTTTTGGGGGGGGGTTCTAAAATATCAGAGATTTCTGTGTAGAATAAGTATAAAAGAATTATCTTTGTGAGTCGTAAAATGTGTTGACCTAAAAATGTCCGTCTGATGGGCTAGCTCTGTCTTTGGGTAGAATGGAAAACTGCTTGAAGCTAAGGACGCAGGCTTATAATTTGTTTCCGGACAAACTTAACAAAAATTCCCCCAATCGGAATTCAATGCACGATTGCCACGCCTTAGTTCAGAACAGTTCCCACGTGATCTTTCTTTCACTCATGCACGTAGAACCCCGGCCAACGTCCTATTATAACGTAATACATTTTATTACGTCAAAGTGGAGGGAGAAATTATTACTATTTTGAAACGCTGTCAAATGACTTGTTTTCTGCGATAGCTACGTTTGGTATACTTCATCAAGCCATTACCTTCGGTCAGAATAATACATTTAGTCACACACATTCTTTGGAGAGATAAGCGTGTTGTTTGAGACATGCGCCCATGACAATATTTAACTCTTTTAGTAATACATTTTCAAATTTCTTTTGTCCCACCAAAAATAGTTCTGGAGAGCTTCGGCTGGATGTAAAACAGACAAAAACCAAATTCAAATGAATTTCTGTGCGATTTCTGGCTCTTGCACAGTAGAGCATGAAGAAATCGTCTTCTGGGATGTTTTCGGAGCTCCCTACCAACTCCGTCAACAGATGGCAGGAGACAGCATGGCCAAACACGCCAAGAGACAGCCATTTCAAAATAAACTTCCATTAAAAATGGGAACATGGGACGGTTAGGCTTCATTAAACCTAAAACTGGACTAACACTTTGACGAAAGTCGAAGATTATGGTGAAGCCGATGTGCCGAACGCCAGAAACTTCCTGCTCAAGAGAGTACCACTGATCAAAGAAACTTAGTCAAAGAGCTTCTCATTAATGCAGTTAAAGCTTACGTCTGATTAGCATTACCTAGTCATTCGCCCTCTGCTTTAACGATTCAGCTTGACCGCAACTTCGCCCTGCCTGCTTTCATTCTACCTTATATCTCTCACCCATCTTTCGCGCGTTGTATTCAAGGCTCCGAGTAAGCAGTAAGAACCTCCGAAACGTCGGTCAGTTTCTACGACACTACACGGCGCAGCATCCGCAAGATCGCGAATACCCTGACCGAAAATGATTCATTTCCTAGTGCTTTTGGAAAGTAACAGATTGTGATTATGAAGTTCTGAACAATCAAACAAAAAAACAAACAAACAAACAAACAAACCATTGATTTTCCTTGTTATCGAAATATGAGACGTTCCAGGACAGGTGGGCGTACGCGTCAAAATTTCCACCCATGACAAAGATCGTGTCGTCGATCACTTCTGCGTGGAAGTAATATGAATAGATGTTCATGGCAGGGATCTCGGTCCACGTGTCTTCTGCAGGATCATACTTTTCGGTACTGAGACTGAATGATGAACCATTGAATCCTCCTGCTCACACACAAAAATTCCGTAACAGGTCGCAGCATATAAGAAAAGGCTGCCAAATGGAACTTATTCTAACCCCATTCAGCGGGAATCTTCTTGATATTTATTACCCTGTCACCTGGTCACGAAATGTTTGGCCTTTATGGCGCCTTAAGATTCATTATCTTATTCACAAAAGTCGGTATTTGAAACTTTCATACATACTCTAGTTCCATAAAACATCTTAATATTATCCTTCCTTTTACGCCTATGTATCACAAGTGGTATCTTACCTTCAACATTATCAATTATAACTTTCTACATGTTTGTATTTCTCGTAACTTCAATGCTTCACACTACGTCCATCTTATCCAACGGACTTTACGCTCTTAAAATTTTTCCGTAAACGGAACGAAACAATGAAATATAAGGAAGAAAATTCATTCCCTTTTGCAGTGTTAATATTAGTAGCATGAAAGAAATTAAGGATGAAATACCTACAATAATCCTTTCGCACATGTAGCATCAGGAAATTGCGCCTGACATCTGTTTTCTGTTTCATGAACTGCGTGCGAAATTAGCTTTCAACAATAACACAAGATGGCGTTACACAAACAAGTGACGAAAAGCAAAGACTGCGAAAGGAATGCTTTAAACCATCGGCTTTTTGGGGATAACAGCACAGTAAACTGAAATTTCCTTGTTACAAGAACAAAATATTTACCTTTAAAACTGGGACTGTGTGACAAATAGGGAATACATTACTTGAGATACCACAGGAGATTATCTGTTGTTAGTTAGTTAGTTAAGTGTTCTTTATGGAGAATGTAATCGAAACCATGAATCGGGGTTGAAATTATTGACAAACTAACTCGTTAATGACAGGAGAAAAGCTGTTCATAAAATCTCAGTCACTCAAAGCAAACCAGGAAAACATTTCATAAATGAAAGTTCTGTAAGAAGGATAGAGGAACATCACTCAGAATGTCCAGAGTTCTCACCTAGGGCGTACAGACAGCCGTGCAAGGCGACACAAGAAAACGCGGTACGTTGAGAATGCATTGGTGCAACGAACGTCCACTGGTTGGTGTCTGGGTCGTAAACTTCCACCGAGTTTAGATAATTCTGACCATTATTTCCACCAGCGACGTATATTTTATCTGTAAAAGAAATTAGCTATATGACAGGAACTGTAAACATATTTGGTGTAGGACGAGGCATTAAACTGGCCCCTGCAGAGCACAGAAATTGGGCCAATCCGTACTTAAATTTGTAAATCTATTAATGATATTGTACTAAATGTCCCCCCTCGTGTCACAGCAACTGCACAGACACGGCTGCCTCTTTTCATATGTTTTTGTTTTGTTTTGAATGCAGACAGTCAGCGTGACAAAGGAAACGATTTTAACTGATAAAATTTAATGTAAACAGCATAAAGTGCATAATTAATGCATAACGGAAATGATGGTAAGTTACATCTTCTGTGAAACGAATTTTATTAAATTTGGTGTCACAGATGTAAGGTACGAGCTGCCAAGCGGTGATCTACATTTATAATATAATGTACTATTAACATGAGATTATTAACTGTCTCAAAAATATATTACATCTGTATTATATGAGAGCCAGTTTGATAGTTTGATCGTTGTTTGCATTCACTCCTAGTGTACACTACAAAGACAGAAGACGATGCACAGGGACAGCTTACAAGGGCAGAAGAATCCATCACGCACTCAGAACTTTAAGCAGTTAGACACTGCACTAATTCACACATTTTCGTTTCACAGGATTTACGTACCATTCAGCACAGCCGCATCTCCTCTGGTTCGCGCGCAGTTCATAGCAGCGATCCACCACCACGAGTTCTTCTCGCAGTTGTATCTTTCAACCGTTCTCTGAACCCAACCACCCGAGCAACCGCCCATGGCGTAAACAAAACCTCGCAGAAATGCCACCATTAAATTGGATCTGAAACGAAAAGAAGTACACGCTCCTCTATGCTCACTTATTGCTGATGGAGATGCATTTCCTCTCGCAGAACGCAGTTGTTCGCTCGTCATTATTAAATCACAATCCAAATGAATTAACAAGCAAATTGTATTCTTAAAACCAACATTGTCGCAAAAGTCCTCCTGTATGTGAGTGGTACAATTTTACATCTCGTGCCCACATTTATATCTTGACTAACGGATCGACTATCAGCTTTTAAAGAAGGACTCTGTTCCAAGGAGTTCCCTAGTTACCAAGCTGCATCTTACCTTCGGGCAATCGTAGGCTCCACCTTGCGGCATCTCTTCGTAACAGCGTTGAAGCAGCTACATGATCTTAAGACTTCCTTGTGGGTGGAACCACCAATGACGTAAATGTCGGAACCGACTACTACCGTGCTGTGGAGATATCGCTGGCCGATCGAGTCGACGACCCCCTTCTGCAATAACGACAGGCTTTATGTTTATTTGGGTCATTTGTCCTATTAAAGTGAAGTCCTTACGTTAGAGTCCAAGCAACCGACCACCGGAGCAGAGGTGCAACCTCCAAAAGTGGACCGAAATTGCTACACCGTGACGGGTGGCACTCGACAAAGACCGTGAGAAATTAACTTGGAGCAATGGTGGAATTATGAGAGACGGAGGAATCAGGAAGACGCGAAGAGAAGCTCAAAGATTACCAGTGCTCTCGTCACCCTACCCCACCCCAAAGCCTTCTAATTCACGCGGCGTTACCACGCAGATGGCCAAAATCGACACTGGTCAGTGCTTCTTTTATTACCTTGAAATCCACTGACGATTAACGATGACTTCATTTCATGCCTAAAATCAGCAGACAGGTTGCCATGACAGTTGATGTGTGGACGCTTATTGTAAAATGTATATAAGGCAAACTTCACATCCTTCGTCGATTCCTATTAGAACTCACATTGTACAAGAGACTCAGCGTGTGTGTAATTTATGTATTTATTCTTTTTAATTCAGTCTTTGGAGGTTCTTTCAAAAAAGGGTTCACTGCAATGGAAATAAACGAACACGAAGTAAAGAGGCAACGAGGTGCTCGTGATTAAACTTAAATAAACAATTACTTAGTAAAATTAAGTAAAAAGGAGGAAAAGTAGTTTTTCTCGGAGGCGTCATTTAACAAGGCACGGTAAGAGTAGAAATGCATGCAACTCACCGTCTTCCATCGGTCTGCTCGTGCGTCGTACGCTTCGATCACATCTGACAGGCGTCCATTATATCTCCCACCAATAGCAAAAAGAATGTCCTGTGGGATTCGCGGGTCGGCAATCCTTGGTGTCACGAATTCCTTGTCTTCCTTAGTCATCATTTCTGAGTCGTCCAGAAACGCGAGCGTCTCCGAGATCAAGGGTCTGGACGCCTCATTTTCCCTCACGTAAGGGTGATTTGAAATCTGTTGAACAGTTCAAAGTGGACCTTATAAACTTTTATGAAGCTATGCCATGATCAACTGCAGAGGAGACAAGAAATTCACACATTATTTGGTTGGGAACTCACCGAAATAGACTATGGTATATACATGAAAATATGTTTTTTGCTTTGTGTAACGACGCTCGTAAGAAATGCACAGGTTTTGGAGAGAAGCGAAATCAAGGTTAAATCGATCTTAGAGAAATGTATTGAAATGTATTTCAACCGAAAGTTAAATACTACAGTAAGGGTTGAATTTTAAGTTACATTAAAAAATTGCTTACGGAACCCGAAGGTTCATCACCGAATTAACCAAAGCCCTCCACCAGATCATGTCCTGGGCCAAAAAAATCCTTCAACTCCTATCTCCGATAGATCCCGCCTGAGTTTATCCTTCCATCTACGTCTAGGTCTCCCCAGCGGCCACTTCTCCTCAGACTTTCCAAAACACCCGGTGAAGTCCTCTGGCCGCATCCATGCAATCCACGTGCCCTGCCCACCACACAGGTTTTGGCTTAATCACCCTGAAGATGTGACTGATAAAGGCAATATTAAGTCATGCCGCGTGTTTGTCATTACTCGCATAAAGTTAAATCTTCTTATATGTAAACCACGTAGACATTACGTATAAAATATCAATGTAATCTATAAAGTATTGGATGCTTCTACTTTGGCGAAAAGATTTTAAAAAATTACGACAAAAATATGCCATAGAAATGATGTGACCTTTGATGCAGAACCAGACAGTTAGGAAATAAATTTTGAAAAAAGAAGGCTACTCCTTTTCATAACCATAAAATTTTCGAGTTATTCTCTCCCTACGTAGAACTATAAGTGCTGAAGAGCTTACATGATTAAGGACTTTCCTGCCTAAATTACACATTTATATACACTACAAGCACAAAATGTAATTTAAATAGCCCACTTTCTTTGCCGAACCAGATGGTTCATCATCGTGTTCAGAAAGCCCACCACCGATTTCTATCCTGAGCCATTTGCATCCAGTTCGCTCCATCGAGTCCCATTTCCCTAAGGTCCATCTTAATGTTATCCTCCCATCTACGCTGAGGTCTTCCTAGAGGTCTCCTTCCTTCAGGCCTACCAAATAATAACTTGTAAACAGCCCTCCCCTGCCCACCTCACCCTAACAACATAAACAATATAACATAAATGTACCTCCTCCTTATACCGTGACAGCGTATTTAAAGTCTTACCCCAAAAGGTAATATTCCTTTCCAAGATTTTCGTTTTCCAGTGAACACGCGTGGAAACTTTATGGGGAAAATGACCTTCTGCTTCGAAACTTTCTCAGCTCCTTCCAGCCCAGCCGCAACTGACCACTTAACACAGGGCTTTTCTCCCTTTGTGGCTTTCTCCAGCTCGATCTGTAGATTCTTTTCGTAATTATTCCTTATTATTATGTTACCTGGGGAACGAAAAAGTGTAACTTCATTGTTATGTTACCTAGGAAACGTCAAACTTTATTATTATGTTACCTGGGGAACGAAAAAGTGTAACTTCATTGTTCTGTTACCTTGGAAACGTCATCTGTTTATCAACAAATAAACAACAATAGTTACCTACATAGTTACCTTACATTACCTTACCTTACATTACCTTACATGAAATTCATCTACCACAGACCCATCTGAAGCCTTCCTAATTCAAGTTAAATAAGCAATGTCTCAATCAAACTTTACTCAATTGTAAAGCATGTATAAAGAAAATATTTAGAATAAAGCCAATATATAAACTTCCTTTCCGTATAGACGTATTTACGACAAATTCTCCGGAACCGTGGTTCCACTGACAACGTTTTCTGTGACAAACAAGTGTACAGAGGATCTTGTGTTCTGCTGACCAGGTTAGACTGGCTGTTCAAGAATCAAAATACCCGCACTACTGCAGAACTTAAACATAAATATTACAGTCCTGCATCCAGAAATATCAGTACACTGATATTTAAAAAAAGGTTTCACCTACTTTAGCCCACTCTCTCCAGCATTCGGTGGTTTCTTCCCTTTGCCCTCTGTTATGTATGGGTTCCATTTCTTTGCTCTGTCCAAATAAATATTAAACTTGGTCCTGATGCCTTCCTTTGGTCTCGCCCCTTGAGCTTCATCTGCAATATTTACAAAGGACTCCTCCTTATTTTTGTTTGCATCAGTTGTGAATTTTGCCTTAAAATCATCCTAACCCCTTATCGCTACGCCACAGTACAGTTAAATTTGCTTCTGTGCATAAGCATCATGTCGTGCAAGCATATAGGGCCTTGGAGGTCGAGCTCCTTACATTCTAGACCTGAACAGTAAACAGTGGTTAATAGTCAACCTCATGGTGCAGCCATTTTAATTCCAGGATCCAATGGACAGGTTACTTGGTGGGCAGATTTAGAGAGAGAAAAAAAATTCCAGCCCCAAGCTGCAATGTTTTCAACCTTATTAAAAATTACTGAGTATTTACAATGTGACATGAAGTGAACCAAAGTTCAAACACAAACTGACCGTACTGAACAGGAAAATAAAATGAGCCATTGAGTAGAAGTGAGAGGAAGAGACAATGAGGCATTTACAAATCACATCCACCAATAATACTATTACAACAATATCAAACTGAAACTAGCATAATGACAGCTGAGAAGAACTATAGTGAACAGCCGATGTTAAAACATCCATTAATTACGACAATTTTTTCTACCTATCATTCTGGATGTTATAACCATCACTATGGCCAAAATGTATGAGTAGCCAGTTCAGCTGGCTATAAAATACACAGAATATAAAAGGTTGAGGGAGGAGGACTTTGATACGTATAGCATTTATTCTGTTTATGCTATTCCTACAGTATACTACCATTAACCCCATCCAGTGGACTCAATATGAAGCCTCGTAAAGTGCAGGAACTAGAAGACACTTTTCTACTCACACATCTGACTGCTGACCAATCTCAGAATTCTGATCTACATTGAGTCCCATAAACTTCTTTTGGGTCTTAAAAATACTTGTACATTTTAAGACTGTCTCAAAACCTTGTATTAAAAAAAGTGCAAATTTGTCTCAACATACATTTCTCTGAATCCTGAAGGCATTTTTTAGAATCTTCATTCAGTCTATTTGACTTCATATTCTTCTGTGTTGCCTCCGTATTCTTCTGACTTTCCTTCTTATTCTTCTTTCTTGTCTTCCTTACACAACTACGTGCTTTCTGCAGAAAAATAGAAAAGGAAAGAATCTCTGATATACATTTTCCAAACAGGACAATGATGAATAATAACCACTCACAGAAATTAACATGTAAGAGAGCAAACTTTTTACGTAAACCAGAGTTATACATACAACGCCCCTTTATAACAGCGTTAGTTCAACATGTCAGATACACATGTGGCTTGGTAGTTCAGTTAAAAGAGTGAATGGTTGAAACTCTTGTTCATTCACATTTAAAATTACAACACTGCCACACCCAACCACGTTGGGTTGTAGTTAAAATGGTAGTATACCTTTTGCCTAAAACAGCTGTAAGTTGTCAGCAATTAATCAAATACATCCTCTTATGCATAATTAACTATTTAAAGACAATTCTGATCCAATTATCATTTTGTCATCTAGGAGCTAAACAAAGAAGATAGGTCAGATGAACTAGCTAAATGTACTTCCACTACAAAATTAATTTAACCCTTTCGATGCTACATATAGCACTGTAAATAAGGTTGAGAATAAGCTCATAACAAAGTGGACTTCAAGTGCCTCAAAAATGGCTTCAGATAAGGTCCAATGCAGGTAATGAACCTTTGCTTTCCGCAAATGATAAGGAATGTTTTACCAGCTAAGAAGTCATCATTCCTCATGAAAACCCATGCACTGCAGAATTAAACAGTTCCACATTAATGTGAAATGAAAGTCATTTCGAAGTACAGTCACTCCATTCATAAACGTGTATACTGAATTTTATTTAACCTTTAATTAAAAATCAAACAAAATGTTACCTCCAATGGAGCCTTTTCTGCCATTCCGGAAAGTTCTAAAAATAATTAAGAAAACAAAAATTAATTTATATTAGCATGTAAAATTGCCTATTACATTTCTTACTAAAATAAACCTTGGTAGTTATCAAACATGGCAGGACAGCAATATGAAATTAAAAGACATATTAAGATTGACCCTTGAGATGGAAAACCATGACTGAAATATAGCTCATAAATTCTAAACCCCAAACACTACATGAAGACAATTGGTCAGTTTCATATTTCATGTCACTTCCCGGCACTCTTTACCCCAGGACACAATTCTGAAGTCTTCTGGAGAACCCCATCAGAAGAAAGACTGGATCATGAAAATGACCACGTGGCATGTTAAAATGAAAAACTCCACATAGTGAACTCGTGTTTATCCTCAGACACTGGAAACAGTTTTAAATATCCAAGTGAAGAAGAGCAGTATCACCATTAAAAACCAATCACAAGCAACGGCCATGACTGCACAAGGTAAAGATAACGCCTTACTCCAAGGCTGACATACAGAATGGAAATTATCTGGGACCACCTTACAGAAAGTAAGTACCTTGGAAATGTGGGAGGGCACAAAACATAATAATTATAAAAAAGGCACTCCTCATGGAGGAATCTGACACAGGCTTATGGTGCAATCTAAGTAACGTTTTTACCGCATCCGAAGGTTCATCACCGAATTAACAAAAACCAGCAACCAGACCCTGTACTGGGCCAACAAAATCCAGTTTCCTTCAACTCCTATCTCCCATAGATCCCGCCTGACATTATCCTCCCATCTACGTCTAGGTCTCACCAGAGGTCTCTTCTCCTCAGGCTTCCCAACCAATACCCAGTGCACACCTCTTGTCCCATCCATCAGGCTACATGCCTCGCCCATCTCATTCATCTCGACTTAATCACCCTGACAATATTGGGGGAGGAGTACAGATTTTTAAGTTCGACATTATGCAGTTTTCTCTTAGGCCCAAATATCCTCCTCAACACACGTTCTCAAACACCTGCAATCTGCGTTCCTCCCTCTGAGTAAGACACCATGTTTTGCAACCATACAAGACAACAGGCAAAATTATTGTTTTGTATACTTTAATTTTCAGGTTCTTTGTCCATCTTATTGTTATCCTCCCACCTACGCCGAGGTCTTCTCAGAGGTCTCCTTCCTTCAACTCTCCCAACCAATAACTTGCAAACAGCCCTCCCCTGCCCACCTCACCCTAGCAACATCGGTGCTCGTCATGCATTTTTCTCTATTATCTGTCTCACTCCCGCTTTGGATCCAAATATCTTCAACACGACTCTGTTCTCAGAGACCCTCAGTCCATGTTCCTCCCTCTAAGTGAAAGACCACGTTTTGCACCCATAAATACTTTGCACTCAATAATAACAAACATTCCCCGGATTTAATATGCTTTTGTAGGGAGATAATAAGAGGGAGATTCGTCAATAATTAGGCTTGTAAAACCGAAATAAAATTCTTCACATTTCCCTAAAACGCTTTAAAAATGTCGATGTATCAGGAAATGAAAAGTGTTGGAATTATTATTCAGAATATATATTCCACTTCATAACATCCATATATTTTGACGTAAATACGTCTATAAGGAAGGGTCATTCGTCAAAAAAGGGGAACGGAAAAGGGGAACGAAAAAGTGTAACCTGGTTACCTACGAAACGTCAATTGTTTACACTGCATTATTGTTACCTAGAAAATGTCATCTGTTTACTCTGCATTGTTGTTACCTATAAAACATTACATTACCTTACATTACATTACTTTACATTACATTCAGCTACCACAAACGCATCTTATGCGTAACTAATTCAAGTTAAATAAGCAATGTCTTAATCAAACTTTACTCAATTGTAAAGCATGTATAAAGAAAATATTTAGAATAAAGCCAATATATAAACTTCCTATCCGTATAGACGTATTTACGTCAAATTCTCCGTACCCGTGGTTCCACTGACAACTTTTTATTAAGATTCTAGGTTACTAAATACATTTTATTCATTTAAAATGATAATTTCCTACTGGAATATTATTTTATTATAAATGATGCCGTGAACAAACACAAATCAATCTAATATAATTTGAAGTTGTGTTAAAAAGAAGACAAGAATAATTCTCTTAAACGAGTTCTTAAATGCAGATAAAAACATTAAATGTGACGAATAACAATAATAAATAGGAATCACTTACCTCAAACTTTGTTCAAGAGGAAAAGACCACGATGTCCACCGGCAATTATCAATGGAGACAGTGGAGGGCAGTATCACAGATTTCTTAATAATTCTTATAAAAGATAAGTTCTAAAACGTTTTTAACAGCACAAAATTAATTAGTCTACGACGCACTTCTTCTACAAGCGATTCACAGCTCAGCTCTTTCCACAATAACGAAAGCGGATTGTTGACGGCGATAATAAAACACAACAATACCGAATAAACACATGACGTAACAATTAGGTTCTTAGGTAAAGGAATGGAGTGCAATACGGTTCATTCACGCTATTATACTGCATGTATAAAAACGAGAAAAGAGCCTTTTGGCAAGATCAACCGACATTGTTGCAGGCGTGGGTTAGAAATTCCAATGATTTTTCTTACATTGTTATAAACGCAGGTGTTTTTTATATAAAAAGCTGGAAATTGTCGGTTCATATTTACACATTGTTGGTAGTTGAAATAAACAAAACAAAAGATAATTACTCTAACTTATAATTTAGGTTACCTTCAATTATAAATGTAAAGAGTGAATAATTAATATCAAATGTGTTCTATATCAGAAGGAAATAAATTTAAAAATAATGAGAAGAGGCATAAGAAACAATTGCAATTTCATTGCCCTTATTTAAAAAGTTGTCAGTGGAACCACAGGTACGGAGAATTTGACGAAAATACGTCTATACGGAAAGGAAGTTTATATATTGGCTTTATTCTAAATATTTCCTTCATTACATGCTTTACAATTGATATAAGTTTGAATAAGACATTGCTTATTTAACTTGAATTAGTTACGCTTAAAATGGGTCTGTGGTAGCTGAATGTAACGTAATGTATTTTAATGTAATGTAATGAAATGTAATGTAATGTTTCCTAGGTAACAACAATGCTGAGTAAACAGATGAGGTTTCCTAGGTAACATAAAATGAAGTTACACTTTTTCGTTTCCCTTTTTCGTAACACATTTTTGCCGAATGACCCTTCCTTATAGACGTATTTACGTCAAAATAACGTCGGGTTTTATTTTACGTGATTAATTTTAAAAATAATTTTTCAAGGCTCCGGGGCTGTTGACCCCATCACCCCTTGCCAGGGAAAATGTTTCCGGGTTCCGCATGAGACCTGCGGTACCCATGTTTCGCAATTATGGCGTAGAAAATGGTAGTGTAATCGCCTCTGAAGTTGGCAGATCTCTCTATTCAAGGAGACTGAGATGGAATTCATAATTTTTATCTCTTTCTGGTTCTAACCCACGTCACAACGGAGACTTATATCGCTCAACAACTGAACACGTAATTTCGATCTGACCTGTTAGGTTCATATTTGATTCACCTACATTTCCACAAGATTCACACACTTGTAATATATAACATACACAAGAAAGTGTTTCAAATTTTTTAAATTAAACTGAATAATGTAACCCGTGAAACATTTTATGCTGCTAATAAATAATGCAGTAACCTGAAATGGATCTGGAACTCTGGATTCCAGCGCACAGACGCGGAGACATGGCGGGCCGACGGATATCCGCGTTGGCACTGATGATACTCTGCATGTGTAGCAGCCTCGCGTCGGAGGAGCAGACTCCAAGAAAACGAATAATTAGAGTGCAACAAGGTTTGCTGAAGGGAAAAGTTTTAGCATCTATTCGAAACAGGAGAAAGTACGTGGGGTTTCTTGGAATTCCGTACGCGAAACCTCCTGTCGCGACCTCAAGTTCAAGGTAATGAGAAGATGATAAGTAACAACGAGAGTTTTACATTGCGGTCTGTATTTTGTGAAAAGTACATAAATCATTCGGTGCGTCGTATTCACAAAATATCGCGGTGTCTAGAGGAAAAGTGGCACCAAAATTACGAGAAAACCTCAGAACCTAAAATGTCACATCATACATGAAGTTGCTAACATTGCGTAGGAGACGAATTGAATGATAAATATTGGCGTCTTATTTTTATAAAACTTTCAATAGACTTGTTAAAGCCGGTCAAAACGGCAAATGTACTCGAAGTAAATTACGAAAACTGAATGCAATTTATCTTACACAAATAGTGTGAGGATGGGGAATACATCTGTAGGGGTTCAGATGACCACTGTCGAGTTACTTTAAACGGATCAAATTCAAACACAGACTTTTATTAAGCGAAATTTCGGTCTTATTTCTGATACTCTATTAATGACAATTGCATGAATTCGAACGAGGTTATTAACTGAGAAATAGGTGTCGCATGAAATGTAAAAGACGAATACACACGCGATAATCTTAACCCTATCTTCAGCCTCTACGGTACAAAACACCAGCAGATCATCATGAAAATGTGGTCTTTAGCTTCGAATTTTGTCTTTACGGCTTGTTTAACGACGATATTTTTAATTTAAAGTGCATTACGTCGAATGATGGGACGAGTAATAAATAATAAATTGTAAAATATGTTGACAGAAAGTACTACGGCCTAGTTTCCTTTACTATCACAGAATATGCCTGAAAGAAGTAAAAAAAACCACGAAAAACTTCAGTCAGGACAAACGGTCTCGGACCTACGTCGAATAGATTGTAGGAACGAGATTATTTAATTCCCGAGGCACATTAGAAGCTTAAACGCGAACTCCGTGCGAGCTTTTCTTGTGCGTAAAAATTTTCCATTTCGAGTCTAACAACTTCAAATTGTTTACCAGCCACAATTATTCACAAACGCAAACACATCACTAAATTCTAAGCTGATTTACCATTCCTGGTAATGAAGATGTCCAACAGCATGAACAATTTAACGACGCATTCGCTGAAAGTTCCGCTCCGTTTCTCTGCCACTCGAAACAATGTCTCTGATGGCAAATAATTAATTTTTATTCAGTTTTAATTTGAAATTTGCTCACTGCAGGCGCCTCAAGCGCCGGATCCATGGTCAGGAACTCGTATCATTGTCTTTGATTGGGATAATAATACGCTTACTTAGGGTTTCTTTATCTATATTTAGTATCGATTCCTCAATCAAAGGCTCGCCATCATGCGACTCCAAAACTCATATCCTTTTTCAAATGCCATGGTCGTGCCAAAAGTGTCCGCCCTGGTCCGAGGCTTAGTTAATGTGTTCGTAACAGCCCTTCTTTACGGTGAAAGATTGTTAGCCTTACGCCAACCCTCCAACCTGGACGACCACGACTCGACCGCTGACCACGACTGATTATTCAATATATTCGCTTCTAACCTCCTTACCTGGAGGCCGCCCCTCTATCCGCAACCTAAGGACGCGCCATGCGGCGGTACGATGGGTCCCCCACCATACATGGAAGATAAGTGAACTTCCGCACCATATATTAGCGAGAGCATGAACATTTTAAGCTAAGTGAAGTGCCGCACCATATAGTGGCGGGAACATGAACTAATGTAGAGATAAGTGAACTGCCGCGCCATGCTTTGGCGAGTGCATGAACTAATATAAAGAGAAGCGCATTGCCGCGAGATCTGTTGGGAAGGTGTTAACTAATGTGCCCGCCAACATTTTCTGGCCCGTTAAGCTCCTTCGATATCGTATAACACAGATAGAAACACCGAAAAGTCAAAGGTAGGTGACCTGCTTCGAACTCTATTGGCAATGGCAAGAACTAATGTAAAGATAAGTGAACTAACTAACTAGATGGCGAGCCAAATCTCGGTTTACGAACATTCGCTATAACGAAAGTCAAAATTGATTCAAAATTCCTTAAAATCGACAATAGATAGAGTTCCTTATAAATCGAAATGCCAAACGTATAGTGAACATGTAAGACTTGAGGTTCTCACAGCGGTGAGTATGAACAATGGGAGCAGGTATGGGAGTGGACCAATGGTAGCACGTGGGCGAGAGTGGGAGAGGGAGAGAAAGTAGAGAGAGAAAGGTGAGTTTAGTTGTATGCATAGAGACCACTAACTCGGCCCCTTTCAGGGCTCCCGCCACGACGAAACCCCGTTAGCGTTAGCAAAATTTCCGTTTTTTTTATATTAAGACCGTTTACCATTTCCAGCAATGCGCCTTGAGTGCAGGAATGGTGTCACCTAGGTAGGGACGATGCTTGCGCTTGCGCAGGCCTCCGCCCTCGGTTAGCTTTTTGGTTGGTTTGGTTGGTTTCCTATTGGCATATTCATCGCCCTGATGACGGAGGCAGTATGACCTCTGAAACGTTGGTTAACATCGACCAGACTACACAGCGCAATAACCCAGAAGACAGAAATCTTTATAGTGAACATAATTGCAAGATTTATATTAACAAATATTAAAAAATGTTTTTATTACAATAATTATCAGAAAAACACTTTGTGTCAAATCTGGGCTGCATGGGGAATGTGCAAGATTGAAAAAACGCAGACTTTTAATCGCTTATTGCGTTGGAATACTCAAGGTGATATTGACTGCACTTTTTTCGTAACGAGACCTACGCAATCCTTCAACCTTAAACATGACAACGCCAGTCCTCACACTAAGGAATGCATTACAGTAATTATACACGTTGTTGCATAAAAGTTATTACCTTGTCTTATAGTCTAACTTGTTGTAACCATATAATACCAACATACATGATACTGCTAGAGATTCTGTTGAGAACTGTCGATTAGCTCGTGGTTGATGTCGCATTGTTCCGTGGATTATTTAACACGGCTCTTTAAATCCCGTTTAAGTATTCTTTGTAAAAATTCGTCAATCGAATGCCAAATGAAAGGTATCTATTCGGCACTAATATACAGATTTATTAGGGTGTAGCTACATGCTGAGCCCTTCGATTAGCATGAGGGACCTGATTAGTTGAGCCTATGTCTTCTTAACTGCCTGTTTGTTTCAACTGTAGACTAGGCACGATATTATGTGTGTTTCTGATACCCAGTTTTACATCACGCCACTCTTAAGTTTAATTATGTTTAGTGAATTCCACACAATTTAACTCTGAATGTAACACAACCGTCATATAATATGCGGTCGTACACAGATTTATATAAGTAACACACTCCATGCGGCACGATTATTCGAGAAATTGATAGTCGCCAAAATAGACAAGAATTTCATACCCATTTATGGAAGTCGAAGGTTTATTGCCGTGTTCTCAGGTCGCCATGAGACCCTACACTGGGGTAGTTGAATCCATTCCAAAACCTAAACATTTAATGACAGTCCATTTTATTATTTTCCTATTTAAATTTATTTCTACCAAATGATTTCTTACCTTCAGTTCTCCAGCTAAATACCTCATCTTCCCTTTTTAAAACAGTTCTCATCTACTTGATTTTATAACCTCAGCTAATAGGTTAATAGAACAAATTGTGGTTAAATTTATTCCATCCTCATATTTACTTAGCCTTTCTTGTGTTGAAATATTGTACTTCGCGTTTTGTTCTGAAGCACTCTCAATCACTGCCTAAGAGAAAGAATAATTTAATTTCGTGAAAAATGCTTCGTGCTAAACTGTACCATCATTAAATGTATCACGAATTTTCTTAACACAGAATAATGTTAATTTCGTTAAAGAATGACAATGACGTTGACTTAGCAATCGATAGTCACTGCGATACAATTCATTGTGGCGAGACGTTCGATACGATCTCCATGGCAACAAAACCTTTCTCCCTGTAAACAAGTGGCCTGCATGGAGTCAAACTTTTTGATAGCAGCGACCAACAAAAAACCGTTCCATTGTACGGGTCTGTATGTGATTGCGTGTTGCTGCGCACCAGGCGTAGAACTTTGTTATATCTTGTTGATTGGAAAATGGCACGTAGATAGCGCTTAGGGGTAGAGGCTTAAAGGAAGGGAAGGATTGTGTTCGTGCATGTTGCATGTGTAATTTCCCCCATATCAAACTTTTAAGCACCGAATGCATGACTGTAGCAGAGACAAAATTATCAGTGAAATAGCATAACAGAGGGAAAATATCCACCTATATGTTTGCATGAGGGTATCAGGTGTTTGAGGTTATGGTCGACAAAGACAATAAATGGCCTGCATGAATCAATGTCACGAAAACTGACGTCCTGGGATTGGCTTTGTGACAGCACACAGAGCAGTTTTATAATTCGGTTACCAGTATTCTTTGGAGTTGTACTGGGTCAAATATCAGATCATGAATTTGTTATATTTTACGAATTGTAAATACAACATGCGAATTCAAATAACTTGCATAACGATTTCTGTCTTATGGGTTGTTGGCGCTGTGTAGTCTGG